GCCGAGCCGGGGGGTCCCGGGCCGGGGAGGGCCGCGCAGGGGGTGGGAGTTTCGGGAGCCTGCGGGCGGCCCTTCGAGGGGAGGGGATCGGGACGTGGGTCTTAAGCCTTTGGCTGCGGCTTCGTGTCTCCGTTTTAGTTTCGCTTCGCTGTTGGCTGAGGTCGGGGTTTGCTGCAGCCCTGCCGGTGCCCCACAGCCGCGCGTCAGCGGGGCGGCGGGGCTTTGTTTTCCTAACGGCTGGTGACCGTCAGCGGAGGCTGGGAAGGATGTGGCCCGCTGAAATCTCTCCAAGTGGTGTCTTTTAAAATCAAAATGCTTCAGAGCTTGTCAGAAATAGTGGAACTTCAGACCCCACGGTCCATTGTATAGTTTTCCTGTAACATGTGAGTTTGCTGTCTGCTAGGAAAGATCAGGAGTTTACAGATCATCGCATCTTTCTTTCCTGTTAGAGCTGTGGCTCTTAGGGCACCTCCAGAGTCATTCCCATCGATTCGGTGGGAGCAGAGACACCTTCCATGTCAGTGAACAGGTAGAAAAGGGACATTTGGACTAAGCCTACAAACTGCCTACTTACAAATCTCAAAAGTGGTGTGACTAGGCACGTTGTAAGGGGGAAAAAACATGGTAAATTACTGCCTTAGCTGAAAACTAGTTGGCTATGCAAATGAAGTTTAGAGCATCTCCAAATTATTGCAGGAGTGGCCTGACCTGGTGGAACCCTCGTTCTTGTGGCAAGAAATAAGTCATTCAGATGAGCCAGGCTGTATTTAGATGTCCGGAAGGATCGTACAGGATCACCTTATTTTGCTTAAATGGTATTGTATAATCTCAACTTTTCTGAACATGTATTCACACAAAAGTTGAGACCTGGTGGTTACACTGGTGGCTGTAGTACAGGGTACGTAGAAGCAGATTCTGGTTTAGTCTGTATACTTTGGCCTGGCAAACAAAATGAGAGGATGGACCTTTGAACTGACTCCATTTTTAGACCTTTGGGAAGTACAGAATGTAACTGCCGGTCAACAGAAATTACTTAATTTTGTTTTTGAGCCAGTGGAGCTGGCAGTGCTGGCTTTAGTAAGATATTTCCTAAGCTGGGAAGTCATTTGTCAGTTATGAAGTAAATC